ATCTTTCAATGTTTAAAATTTTAACAGTGACGTAGTATGCCTGCGCTTGCACTTCTTGTTACTTTGACGGCTATTGCCTATTAAAACATTTAGTACATATAAACGTACAGAGGACTTTTAATTATTTTTATTTTATTTAACATACCGCTGTACATTAAATAAAAATAAAACAAAAATATTAAAAAAGTGGTGGCGGTAAATGGTGTATATATGGAACGTTTCGTACCAAAGAAAAAAACTGGAACGTTTTTTTCCTTCTTGTAGTCACTGTAGTCATCTGTAGACAACCTGTAGACACCCTGTAGACAATCTGTATACATCCTAAGAAAACCTAAGAACCAGGTGACTACAGTATGTCTACAGTGGTGTCTACGGGCTGTCTACAGGTGACTACCGGTGTATACAGGCAGAGTATCGAGCTGAACCTAAGAAGGGCTGCCTGTATACAACGGTAGACATCCGTAGACAACCTGTAGACACCGTTGTAGACACGCTGTATACATCCTAAGAAACCAGGTGACTACCGATAGGTCTACAGGGTGTCTACAGCATGTATACAGATGTCTACTGTGACTACAAGGAGCGAAAAAACGATTCACTTTTTTTCTTTGGTACGAACCGTGCCACAGGTGACCGCTAAGGCAGAATAAGCAAGTGCAAGTGGCGAATTTACTCGACACGGCAAGTTAAACCACAGTCAGATGCAACAGGAAAACGTACGCACGCATAAACTACACACATTGTCAGATATCATAAGCAACACGTCTAATTTCTAGAAGCTGGTTTCCCGCGTAATATCATAGGAATATACTCAGGACAGATTACGGCTGTTAAAAGTTGGGCGCACATATTAATAAGGAGGAAGGACACGCGTAAGGATCACAAAACAACAACGTGTTCGAGGCAGTGCACAAAAACACTAATAAAAGGCGTGGACGGAAGTCCGTTTGACGATGAAAGTAAAGGTCGTATTAATCAGCGCAGCCGGTACTAATGCAATTAAATCTAAAAGTTCCGGTAAATTATGTCCGGTTTCGTCTATATAAAAAACTGGTGAAATTTCGTTTCAAACACAAATTTTGTATGGTTTTCCTCTGATGGCATCTCAGTAAACGCACTGAAAGGCCGATAGTTATTTTTATTAGTACATTCTACACATCGCTATTCCCTAGGCCTATATCATGGCCATGTATGCAACTTTTTTCGCCCTTGCTTTGGCATTCGTGGTTGTTTTGTTCGCGCAGAAGAGTGCGGGTTATCCAGTGGATGAACAGGTATGGATTGGCGGCTTTCGCAACGTTTTCGCTTTATGTGCAGGGGTCGCTTTTTATTTGAAGGATGTCCATGATGCAAACGTAGCCCGCAACCGAACTGCACGTGCATTGGTTGGACTGAACTGCTACCAAGGTTATGGTAAAACCGGACGCTTCTGCGGCGTAGTGGTTACCGATAGGCCAGCTTGGGATTACGATGGGGCTTGCACACGGCGGAATCCTGAATGTTGTCGGGATGGGGTTGAAGGACGCTGCCACTGGAATGATTAAGTACAAATGTCTTCGGTAAAATGTTTGTTGTTGTTTGACCAACATCCACGGCCAAACCATGATGACCTGAATATCATATTCTCGTGTTTTGCAAACACAGTCATTTTTTATTTGAATAAGTCCGCATATAATAAATAAATTCAGCGTCAGATAAGCATTTAAAAATTAAACAGTCCATTGTTACCAATAAAATCACCGCATGCACACAGTCAGGAAAATGTGTATGCCAGTGGCTCGTATAAGGTAATAAGTCGAAATAAGTTTTGTTTTGTCACACTCAACGTCATGCAACGCTTAAGGCCATGCTCGCCATGCAATGCGGGATTAAAATTTCTCTTAATTTCCACCATATCATCGGGCAAGGTGGTGTAACAGAAACACAAGTTAATTACAACCAGCGGCAAACCATTCAAGAAATCAATCCATCCCTTCAATGGACACAAAACGTACAGTGTATGTGATCGTAACTACGTAATCATGAGTAGCATTGAGCTGTTCCCGTCCTTCATTAATTTCTAAAAATACGTCCTCGAAATCCTCGTGTCCAGCCTTTGTTAGCGCTTAATAGCAGTACCGGATCAATAATGGTCTCCACGTAGAAAAAGACGTACGATATTTGGAACAGCATGAAAATACTGAAGTTCGGGATCAGCGCAAAGCTAGCCAGGCAGAACGCAATAACAATTGGCAACCAACAAATGATAGTCGACATGGTCATCACAAAGTACAGCGCATAAATGTTTTTTTCATCAGACTTCCGGTAGACTGGAGCTGGAAGCTTGCTGGCGTTGCTGGCATTTCCAGTGTCACTGCTGTTCACAATTTCCAAACTAAATACATTCGGCTGATGCGAAAAATGGTTCGCTGCCATCGAAGCTCCAGCTCCGGCATTGACCTTTAGTGTTGACTTCCGGCGTATGAACCAAATCACGGGAAAGCCGGTCAGAATAATCAGTATCGGAATAATCATGTAAAATACAGTACAAGCGGAGCTAAGCCCCTTTATTTTGCTGTTATCGATGTAACAGCGTCCGGCCATTTTATTCACCGGTTGCCGGTAATACAGCGCATCCAAAATGACAGCCGCATCCAATAACGTATTGGCGTATAACCACGCACCAATACACATACAAATGGCTAATTTTTTTGTATGTCGCGTCCGATAGGAATGTGGGAAAATAACGGCCCATAGTCGATTCAAAGTGATTACCACATGCGAAAGAATAACAACAGCCAGTGAAGTAATTTGGGTGTAATTTAGAAAGGTACAGCAGGCCGGATTGTCGCGTACCGATGGGTAAAATTTCATAAGGAACAAGACTAACGGCGGTACAAGATTGTGATATATGTTGGAAATTAGCAGATTGAAAAGGTATACGCTGAATGCCGAAAATCGACTTTTTGTTATGATTATAATACTTAAAACAATGACGTTGCTGACCGTGCCGACTGTAAATCCAAAAAGGTCAGTAAGGGCGGCAAACGTCCACACCGGAACAGAACTGTCTGTAGAATTTCCGGTACCATTCAAAACTGCTGTATAATCTGTCAGATTTAGAGATGACTGAATGCTAATGTTATGGATGACTGAAGAATTCATTTTAGCAACAAGGAACTTTGTTGCACATCTAATAATATTCATGTAATATTCAACTTAAACAAACGCAACTGTTGTTTATAGCATCCACTCTACTGAAACACTGTAGGTAGATTTACGGGTTTAAATACGATATGTGATCGCCAAAATGTGTCGGACGCAGTTATTCTTTCGAACCCAAGGGACATGCACCGAGGGTTTAATGCGTGGAACATGTATCCATCTATTGTATTTTTTCATTCCTGTGACGCGCTTTCGCAAATGAATGGATAGCGTACCTGCATGCCGTACTATTAATGTCTTTACGTCCGGTGAGTATGACCAACCTTAACAAAACCATACTTTAGAGATGGAATAACGCTTTGGATGTACATCAACTCGAAATTCCGGGAACTATAAGAGCAGTTAATACTTCCTTCACCCACAAGCACATCCATACTTCCACGATCCAGCTAATTGTAAGACGATGTGGTTGTCTCAGATGAGCGAAGTAGACAAGTATATGATATTCTTTGGCTTATTTCGTTTACAATGCAGCTTCGGTCAGTTACTACTGCATAGCTCCAGCTTCAGAAGGTCACAGTTCCAACACTTATAGTCTTATACATCTGTGAACTGCTGATTGCATAAGTGGGATTATCCCGACTTCCCATGTGGCGCATCGTATGATTACCGTATATGCTGCTCTAGAAATGAAATATTTACGATTGCATATTCGTACGGTTATAAATGATTATTAAGAAACTCCAGTATTTAAGCAAGGGATTTTTCCCAATACGTACTCAAGGTGCTTCTTGTATTACGATTCATACAAAAATCCCCTTGAGAATGGTATTGTTTTTGTTAATGTGCCCTATTCCAAGATTCTCCTATTCTCAAACTGAAGCGTAGTATGCTCTTTTGTTATATGTCTGTCCTTAGAGTCTCATCCAGTTATTGTTATACTACTATAATGGTTATTTGAAGTTTACGGGTTCATAACCGATCACCGCCGAAATATCACTGAAAACGGTAAACTCTACAAAAGATTCTCATTTTGTTGTAAAAGACACGTTCTTGGTATCTATACAAACATTCGTGTGGGTCGTAATCCTGAAGCGTAATACGCCATGGTCGTAGGCCATCATTTGCTTGTAATCGACAATTTTGCTCGATATTTTATCGAAATGATCAATCACTGTATTTATAAATGTCAATATATGAGTAAACTGAAATTTCCGTGCGAAATAACATATTTATGAAAGACTAGCGCTAGCGTCTCTTCGTCGGTCTTGCTTTCCTGAATTTTAAAAGACAACTGATAAATTGCACATACGGCACGCCGTAAACACACATATTTAATCACATGCTCTCAGGAGATATTTATGTGTTTCCACAATTATCTATACTTCTACTTGAAGTATTTTAAGAATGATGGGCGGCCACATTTTGTTATTCGTAAACAAGCCATAAGTCATAAGTGAATTTTACGAAATATTGCTCTCACTTCGTGGCATGGTGTCAAAATGTTTACTGGTAAACGTTAAAGATTTCACCCGGAGGTTGGAATGGTACATAAAAATGGTTTTAAGTTTCAGTAGCTGATTGCGGTGTATTTGTAAGCCTTGTCGGCAAATTCCACAATTTTATTATTGCAGTTCTTATGGTTCTTTCAATGGAAGTACCGGTAAATGTACTTGTACCTCCGCTGCAGTTTACAAGCGCAAGATAACTACGATCACAATCTTACACACGTTCAATAAAATACAAGTACGGATGTCTAGTTCACGTTATTGTGTAAGCTGCCGATTCCAGGTAAAGGCCAACAACAGCAGCCGGTAGACTTTAGAGTTAAGTCTGCAAAACAAAAAAACGTAATACATGCGGTAGAATATTGCAGTTAGATGCTGTACTATATGTACATCGTCATTGTGGTAGCGTGATTTGCCGTTTGTGTTCAGCGACTGCTGATCCTAGAACTTCGAAAAGAAAAGATTTTATGGTACACTTGCCTGCATAATTCAATTAACCTACGGTTTTCCTTCGCGCCAGCGACTGCAACGTTTGAAACGGTTTTCGGCAGTTACGGCGGTAAATATGCACACCATAGGGAAGGTACGTCAAATTTTTCCGCTGCTCTGTTTTAGACTGGATTCTTCATAATACCGTATTTTTCATTTTGGATGCGCCCATTTACTTAAAAATGTCTTTTGTTGATTTTGATAATTTGTTGATTCACTGTGTTATGTATTAGGGTTTTGTAGCTATCGTGACCGGCGGTGCGTCTGGTCTCGGCAAAGCAGCGGCGGATTTCTTGGCCAGCCAGGACGCCACGGTATTTGTAGTCGACCTCCCGAAATCCTTTCCAAACGGTAACAAGGATGAGAACAATGTCCATTTCCGTGGTGCTGATGTAGGTGCCGGCTGAATTAAGCATTCAACACAGCTGGCTCTAATACTGCCATTTTAATTTAATTGTAGCATGCGTTCATTAAATTTAACTATCATGATTAACTTTAAATCACGAATCAGCAAAACTATCATGCTGCTTGACTGACTGATGTAAGCATTGTAGCATTTTTTAACGGTTGCTGCAGATTACCAGTGAAGAGCAAATCACCACACTAATCCAGGAAATCCGGACCAAATACAATCGGCTAGATTGTGTTGTCAACTGCGCAGGAATATGCAGCTGCCATGTGGTTTTCGACACCACCACAGACAAACCACATTCTATGGAGGACTTCATGAAATATTATCAAGTACGTCGTACTTGTACATTTTTGGGTACTATTTCCGTCGCATTGCAGTTTATACAAACGCCATGCGTTTTGGGTACATACGTTGCTGCGATTGCAGCAATTTATAGACTCAGTGCTAGTGCGAAATGCGAATACCAAATTCCACTACCGGTAAATTATGGCGGCATTTTAAAACTTTCTGCGGTGTACCTATAGGTGAACGTCTTCGGCACGTTCAACGTGATTCGGCTATCTGTGGCTTTAATGCGCGATACACAAGCGCAGCAGGACAAAAAAGGACCCGGTGTCATCATCACTGTGTCCAGTGTCACCATGTATGACGCGCCAGCTGAACATGTCGCCTATTCGTCTTGTAAAGCCGCTGTTGCTGGAATGACAGTGCCACTCGCGCGCGAATTTTCTGAGTTCGGCATACGTGTCGTGGACATTGCACCAGGTGCGAAACTGTCGCTTCCGTTTTTAATTACGAAATTTTTACTAGCTTAACCATGGTAACTTTTACTAAGTAATCAATGTAAAAAACAAATAGCATAATATTAAGATGACTGTAAGTCTGTAACTGAAGTAAGCATTATTATCGCTCCTTTTAAAGGCCCTATGTTGACACCGATGTTGTTGCGGGACGGGACTGGATTTACTGCCCGAGCATGCTTGAAGTCGTTAATCTTCCCCGTGCGCCCAGGTCAACCGGAAGAATTTGCCGATGCTGTACGGTTTATTGTCGAGAATCCTTTTATCAATGGCACGACGATTCGCCTGGACGGCGGCTATCGGAATCCAATGGGGTCAAAATATGCATACCAGGAAACTAGTTCGGATAATAAAAATTAATTGAACGTGTTTTACCAATAATAAACACTACGGTTTGACAGTTTTGATCTTTTTGTGAAAGTTGCAATAATCTTGTTCGCAGTTATAACAGAACTGGAATTTTTTAACGCAGAGGTTTCTGACATGCGGATAATGTCCGCGTCGCAGTTCATATTATATACACACTCTGACACATACGCGTGCCTGTATTAGTTTCTTAAATTTTGATAAAATGTTTGTTCCGTTCGCTTTTCATGTATAGAAGTATCAGAAATGCGTAGTGCTGAACGCAGAATAGTACAGTACTTCTGTAGTTTTCTACGGGACTTATGTACGTTGTTTCGTTATCGTAAGAGTACAGTACATTAGCGGCTTTACCGTACTCGGATTAACTCGTTATCTCAAACTTAGGATATTAGGGGCATCCATAAATTACGTACGCAGAAAACCACGGTTTTTTCACCCCTCCCTCCCCCTTCGTAGCGGTCCGTCACGTTTTCTGGACCCCTCCCCCCCGGTTCGCTCAATCGTAATACAAGAGCTGATCGCCCCCTCCCCCCTGGGTTCGCCGGGGCCGTCACAGCTTGTCACATTTTTTGGACCCGTCCCTCCCTGGTTCGCTGCGTACGTACTTTATGGATCCCCCCTTATCGAGCAATGCGTATTATTGCAAATAATTTGCAATCATCCACGTGGTGTAAATTTAGGCTATCAAGTATACATATTTGTAATAAACGACAAGCACCGGCGCTCGAATACGATACGTTGCATTTTCTCGGGGTAGATGGGTCGCTAATGCTATATCAATATGTACCTGTAAGCCGGTGCTAGGAGATCGGTGCCCACCGCTCAGGGCGGTGGGGTCGCACCGACGCCGATCTCGCCTGATGCGCCGTGTTGCGGCCGAGTTCAGCGTTATCTTGGATTTAATTTTGGTTTGATAACACGAAGTCTTGCTGAATGATCGATTTTTTCCTGTTTTCGGTTGCTGACTTTGGTGTCCTTTACTCGTAGCTTTTGTATGTCTGTAATTAAGTGGTTATTGACCAAGCGATTATTTACGCATCTTTATTAAAATGAAGCCATCAAAGCAAAAACCCCAACCGCAGCGCCCCAATACCAACCAGCGCTCCACGGCGAACCCACATAAGCCATCGGTGAGCGACCCCAGCCAGATGGGCATCCCATCCGTATGCCAGCAATTTAACAGGAACCAACCGTGTGGCACACATCCGTGCATGTTCACGCATCAGTGTTTGTTTTGTCACGGTCACCACAGTGCTCTGGAGTGCCGTTTCCGAGCTCCCCTGGGAGACCCATCACCAATACAAACATCACAACCGGAACCGCCACCACCGTATACGGAGGTACTTAAGCCCAGTACCTCCCGTCCAGTAGTCGCTAATAGCACTCCTCCGACATTCCTCCCGGGTGCATGTCGCCAGCACAACACGGCAAACGGATGCAATGCCAAGAACTGCAAACATGCCCACATTTGTGGATACTGCTCCCGAACCAATCATATCGCGCAGAATTGTCCCTTTCAGGATGACAACATTACTCAAGCGTCCACATCCCGCGGCACGAATAATCCTGCGCCAAAGAGCAAAAGCGGGAATAACACCTCAGGTCAGAAAGATGCCCCTTGTCGGTATTACAACGCCCCCGCCGGATGCCGCAATGTTTCGTGTAAGTTTTCTCATAAGTGCAGCTCTTGTGGGAAACTGAACCATGGGGCCGACAACTGCAATTCGTCTACGAAGAAAAAGCCGGATGCTGCTCGAGCTAGCCAAAAAAAGATTGTTTTTCAAACTGCAGTCGGAACGTTTGAAATACCACAGGATGAGCTGATTGACGGGACCTGCTTCGATTACAACCGACGAAAGCCATGCAAGAAAAGTCCGTGTCCATACGACCATGATTGCTGTGAATGCGGCCGTCAGCACGATGCTATACGCCACTTGGAAGCGGACTACGGTGTCGGCAAGATTTAAAAATCTTTTTAGTTTTACACAATTGTTGTTCACTTATTTTTACATGCTTACACCGTTGTATAAAATTTACAACGGAACGGAAGTCGGAATTAACTCGTAATTATTATTAGTTTATCGTGCACTGCAATGTGGCCGGCTTAATTTGCGGGTTGATCATGATCATGAACTTACCATTAGATCACGCATACTGTATACATGTATTACTGTAACGAAATAAAAACTACAGCAAAGCTACGGGGCAGTTTTAAGCTTTAAATCTCATATGGTACGTGTGGTATCTGCACAATGCACATATTGTAAGTATATTTATAATTATCAATTTTATACTAGCATCCTTGTACATGATCCACACTTGTGTGACTTCTTTCGAATTTTCGGTACGAATTGTCTTATTTTGTACACTATCACTCATATGGCGCGCACAGAGCTTTACTGACAAACATAAAATCGGTTGCCCCAACACCTTTTCCGAGAGTGTACAATACTGTCACGTATCGCACATACAAAATAATATCTTATACAGTAAGTTAAGTATATGTACCATACAATCAAGAACTTGCTATAGGTAAGAACTCGCTAACTTGCTACTTGCTAACTTGCTTCTCACACTATAGTAAGTACTTGGTACAATACAACACGTCCTGCTATAAAAGTTAAAATCAATACAAGCAAGTATATTTAAACCTGTTCGAGGAGCGCAATGCTGATGTTAACCTGCAGAACGTTTCACAAAAACCTTTTCCCTGCAATACACAGCGATGTGCTTCATTACAGTTCGAGTCTTGGAGACATTAACGCTAATGTCTCGAGAAACGCTAACGAGGTGTTGGGACATTGGCCAACCCAGTGCTCAACTGCAAGGTCTCAAGGTAGCTGCAGAACATGCTCGACCACCGGAAGGAATGCTTGCTGGTAAAGAATGCGGATTTAGGGTATGCAGAATGCACCTGGTGCGCGCTCGCTCCAGGAACCCTGATTCGTGGCCAGGGTGTATATGAGAATGCGAATGCTTGCTGCGTTTCCTTCCGGTGCGGTTCCGTGCGTACCGTGGCGGGAGAGAGCACTGAGATGGGTTGTGCCTTTAATCAATATACAAGTTGCTAAAGGGTGGGTTGGTGGGTAAAGAAAACACACCAAAGGTCACTCACAAATATTAATAAATGATCGTTTCTCCTACACTATACGTAACGGAGAATACCGCCAAATCCCATCAATGATCTTTACTGTAGCCGCACACGATAGATAATGATTCGCTCCATCACAACTTCAGCATGGCGCTGAGAAATCAGCATAGAAAACAGACGTCTTTAGACACAGATAGCTACGTGAAGATAGTTCACAACAATTGCATAAACGCCAGATTACGCCGGTGAGCAACACTGTATACATGACTATGCGCCACACAGCACTCCCGTTCTTAAGTTTGAAGCACGGCGAAAACCAATCACTTTGAGAAGCGGAACAAAACGTTAACGATTTGATTACCGTAATCAAGGAACACGCTATAGAAAATCAAAAGAACAGAAGAGGAGCAAGCTTTAAGATATTACGGCGAGGGTTCCCGTATGGTCCGGTTACGAAGTGTCCGGATAACGGTGCGATCGGTTTCATCTGCGAGCGCGTCCGGTTTCCTGGCAGGACGACGAGGTCGGGTTACGCAGTCCCGCTCCATTTCCACGCGCAGCTCAGGATCCACGTCCTCGACGGGAATTTCCCACTGTGAATCAGTGTCACCCATTAAATCCAAATCAGACAGAGGCTCCGTGAACAGTTTTAGTCTCTTTACGTGGACAACAAGAGTGTTTTTACCACGTTTTTTAGTACGCACAGACTGGATCTCGTAGTTTAACTTTGATTTACGGCTAACCACTTTATACGGTCCAAAGTAATGTGCTATTAATTTTGGAGACAAACCAACAGGAGTTACCGGCGTGTACAATAACACCAAATCACCGATTTGGAATTCACGCGGTTCTCTTTTGATATTGCCGGTCAACATGTAACCAGCTTGGACATTCTCAATATTAGCTTTGGCAACATCACTAGCCAGTTTAAGACGCTCAACGAGAGCCTGGCTGTATTCGTGCATGTTATTTAAATTGTTATTCGGAAGTGCACCAAGCTGTGCATCCATGACCGAACGGCACTCGCGCCCGTACAACAAATAAAATGGTGTTTTATTTGTCGAGGCTTGCTTGCTGGTGTTATAAGCTGTAGTGACAAATGGGAGATGTAGGTCCCAATCTTTTTGATTATCACTGACATACAGGCTAAGCATAACAGCTAAAGTTTTACTGAACCGCTCAGTCAATCCATTACACTGTGGATTGTACGCTGTAGTGTTCAGATGCCGTGTTTGACATAGCACCAAAACTTCCTGAACTACATCCGACAGAAATGGACCACCTTGGTCACTCAAAATTCTTGACGGCGCACCGTGACGCAATATTACTTGATGCACCAAGAAATTAGCAACTGCAATAGCGGTCTGCGCCGGAATAGCTTTTGTTTCCACATATTTTGTCAAATAGTCAGTACAGACTATGACATACCGGTTGCCTTTAGCGGTACGAGGGACAGGACCAAAAACATCCACTCCCACCATCTCGAATGCAGTGCCCACTGGAATTGGTTCAATAAGACCACCGGGTTTATCAGTAGGGACTTTACGAAGTTGACATTGTCGACAGCCGCGTATGTACTTACGCACATGATCACGCATTCGCGGCCAAAAGTAGCGCTGGCGCACACGAGTATACGTGCGCCAAAATCCCAAATGACCGGATGTACGCTCGTCATGACAAGCGAACAGTATGTCACGTCGCAAATGATTTGGTACGACGAGTAACAGTACGTTTTCCCCGTCAACTAACGCTTTGCGATACAACAAGTTGTTTTTCATGGTATAACACGCAGTGTCCCGAGACACCACACCGGCAGCCAACTTGTCAATCACATCGCACAGTCGTGAGTCTTGTACCTGCTCGTAGTGGAAGTCTGGAGTGTCGGTCATGGCTACTAACATGTCCATTTCGATATCAGCACTATCAGCCGGTTCAACGGGATGTCGCGATAACGCATCCGCATTCTGATGACGTTTGCCGCTACGGTATACAATTTCAAAATTGTATTCCTGTAACAAGACCGCCCACCTGCTCAGACGACCGGCTAATTCACGCCGGCTCATGAGCCAACACAGTGCACAGTGGTCTGTCACAATGCGAAACATCTTACCAAACAAATAAGGTCGTAACTTTTTAACCGCCCAAACGATTGCCAGACACTCTTGTTCAGTGACCGCATAATTACGCTCTGCGGGACTGAAACTTTTGCTAACGTACGCCAACACCCTTTCGCAGTCACCCAGTTTAGATACTAAACATGCGCCTATTCCAAGGCCACTAGCATCGCAGTTTAACTCGATCTCAGCATTTGGATCATAATGAGCTAAAATCGGCGAACTAATTAGTGCGTGTTTGAGTTTATCAAAAGCAACCATTTGTTCGGTAGACCAGACAAACGGTTCGGTTTTTCTCGTTAACCGTACCAGCGGTTCCGATATACCGGCAAAATCCCGTACAAACCAACGAAAATACGAACAAAGTCCCAAGAACGACTTTATGTCCGTGACATTTTCTGGTACTGGATAATCTGCGATTGCCAACAGTTTATCGGGATCGGGACTAATACCATTACGGTCAACGACATGACCAAGGTATTTGGTGCAATCGGACGCAAAAACACACTTTGATGGCTTAAGCACGATACCTGCTTGGCGAAGCTTGCGCAGTACGGCGTCAAGGTGCTCCATGTGCTCTTCAAACGTCTTCGAATAAATGAGTACATCATCTATGTACACTATAACAAACTGCCATCTGAATTCATTCATTATTTTGTCCATTGACCTCTGAAAGGTCGCCCCGGCGTTACATAAGCCGAAGGGCATCCGGCTAAATTCATATAAGCCGTCAGGCGTCACAAAAGCGGTACGGTCCTTGCTGGACTCCGCTACGGGGATCTGCCAGTATCCCCACGCCATATCTAAGGAAGTAAAATATGCGCACCCACCTAACTGATCAAGCGCGTCGTCCAAACGGGGCATTGGGTACACGTCCTTCTTGGTAACGGCATTAACCCGGCGATAATCAACACAAAAACGCGTTGTGCCGTCCCGCTTGTGTACGAGTACAATGGGTGACGACCACGGGCTACAGGATGGGGTCACAATGCCTTGGCGGAGCATTTTATCAACTTCTGTGCGAATGACAATACGCTCGGCCCACGAGCGCCGGTAAGGAGGTTGGGACACTGGCAATGCACTGCCTGTGTCTATTACATGCGAAACTCCTTTCACTTCGCCAATAGGGCGTTCAGCAGTGGGAAACACGCTTACGTGTTTGCGCAACACAGCGTGCAGCTGTTCAGTTTGATCATCAGTTAAATTTGCACCACACTGAATTTCTGGGAGTTCACACGTTTCAACCACCGAGCACTCTGGAACGTGGTCAACATACATCGGTGTCGCGGACGCAATGTTTTGACCCTTGCCGATTGTTTGGGCCATGCGGGAGAAATTTGCGCACGCCAAGTAACACACACTGTTGACAATTTTAACGAGCGCGTTTGATGTACGTAACCCTTTTTGAGCGAACGTGTTAGCGTTTGGGGAAACTATAAACTCCATATTTTCTGGTTTGACACGACCAGGAAATAGATTATGTTTTAGTTGACATTTCACCCAAGCTACGTGACCAGCGGGAATGTGCACTTTGCGACATGCAACAAGATTCCGCGCCTTCCACGGCCTGAACTTTTCGCCATTACGTTCATCAAAGCGCCGTACAATACGACCGGCATAATCAATTACTAGATCTGTTCGCATTAAAAAATCATTACCAACCAATAATTCACGATCGTACGTGTCTAGCACAAGCACGTTAATTTGGTGCGAACAGTTTGCCAATAACACATCGACACAAACAGTGCCGATAGGCGATATTAATTTGCCACTAACTCCTTTAACGGGCAGCCCGGTATATGACTGAATACACAGGTCTAACATCTGTGCACAGTGCACACTCATAATCGTTACAGCGGATCCGGTGTCAATCACAGCAGGCACGGCCATACCATTAACATATGCCGTAGTACAAACTGGAGCCGGAACAGTCGAATCGTCATTTGATTCTTCTATTGGAAATGCGTCGAAAGGAAAACCAGCAAAATCAGGGGGATCAGACGTATGAGCAGCTAAACCCCTGTACTTAGCTACTCTCTGGAGTTTAAATTTCCCTCACCTTCCGACGGCAAGACATTTCCATGCTTCGCGTGTGCCGCTTTACGTTCCCGCATGCGATCCCAACACCGGCTTTCTTGGTGACCTTGACGACCGCAGAAATCACACCGCGTCTTGTCGTCCTGGTTCCGTTCAACCGTCATAGCCGGTTTCCGGGACTCACCACTGCCGCCGCTTCCGGTGCCTCCACGGCCACGCCCACGGGCACGACCACGGCCACCGCGACCACGGCCTCCACGGGCACTGGCAGCACCTCCACGTACAAATGTCTGCGTCAGCACAGGTGCGGGTATCTGTGTCTCAGGAGTCGTTGGGCCAGCAGCCAACTGGAACTCTTGCTGCAAACGAGCAGAGATAGCTCTGTCCACAGCCTGTTGAAATTCACTGGACTGCAGCACGCTTTACACATTTGCTGAACTGACATCACCGGCAGCAGTTTCGTCGTCTTCACTTTGTTTCTGCTTTGCCGAGACTTCAGCTGTCAAAATGACATTTGTATTAGAACTTGTACGTTCCGAATCAACTTTTAACACTTTGAAACGTGTCAATAACTCTTCCGGTGTTGTCGGGTTAAGCACAGCCATATGATTACGTAGGCTTGTACTAAGACCGTTTAACAGGTAGCGCACTTTCATTTCGTTTGACATCACAGTGTCCACTTTATGACAAAGGTCAATAATAGAGTAGTAATATTCAACCAGTCTCTCTTTGTCCTGATTGAATTTGCGATTTTGCAGCTTGTTCTGATAGTCCCACTTCTCATCCTCACTGACAAATTCTGTGAGAAATGCAGTACGCAAAACGTCCCAAGTCGCAAACGGCTTTCTGAGGTTATACCACTGCTTGGCGGCACCAGCCGTCAAGTAGAACGCAAACCGTTCATTTTTGGTTTTGTCCAGCCAATTCGACATGGTCGCTGCTTCTTCAAACTCTTTCATCCATTCACGAGCGTTATGCTCTGAAGGCTTGAATTTATCGCACTGCAGCGGACCACTTACTGGAGCATCTGTTGCGACCTTTACAAGACTCTGTAGGCCATCAGTAAGTGCTTTAACTTGTGCATCCATATTGACACTTTCAGTTTCATTAACGTCAACGAGAACCGTTGCAGTACGTTCTGGTATATCGGTCAAGAAAGGTGGCTGTGTACCTGTTTCAACAAGTGGCGTTGCGTCACTTTCAGGTATAACAGCCGACTGTGTTGAGTTTAACGCAGTAACAGGCTCATCGTCATCTGATATTAATTCTTCATCAGATTTGACTTCGCCCTGGGCACGCCTGACCTTTTTTGGTTTTGGCAGTTCGCCTTCTGCAAACTCTGCTTGACCGTCTGAACGTAACGTCCGTCCTCCGGCTTTTTGCAATATGTCTGCTTCTGTATACGGAAAGGTCTGTGTAGCAGCTTTCGAACTTGAAGCTACAATTAGTGAACTTGCGACAGGTTTATTTGCTGCTGCAGGCGCAACTGACTTATCTGCTTTCTTAGCTAGCGGTTGCGTTGATTTACCGCTTTTGTCGGACATCAACGTCGACAATTATCTAACCAAGAATAGCATTACAAATAATGTTGGATTGCGCCTGGTGCAGCATGTACCCCAACACGACATTAGCAGTCAAACTACCAGCAGACAAGAGAATTAACAGTTGAGTTGACCACGAGCAACAGCTCATCAACTTTCTGATCGGCGATACTATACAGTTCAAAACTTTACACATTTTGAACAAAAGTAGCAACCAAATATTGTACGATATGCGATTCTTTTACGAATATTACATTCAAAAGAACTATCCGCAGAATAACGGAATCACATACCCAAAGCCGTTTCCACCGCCTTCAGACGCTCATTACAGGTGTCGTAAAGATGGGTATAAAATGGATCAATAACGGGAGCCGTCATATTGACTGAGAACAGAAAGGTCACTGGGCTATTACGGTTGCTAAACGCATCCACCCAGGAGCGCCATAATATATGATCGTTTCTCCTACACTATACGTAACGGAGAATACCGCCAAATCCCATCAATGATCTTTACTGTAGCCGCACACGATAGATAATGATTCGCTCCATCACAACTTCAGCATGGCGCTGAGAAATCAGCATAGAAAACAGACGTCTTTAGACAAAGATAGCTACGTGAAGATAGTTCACAACAATTGCATAAACGCCAGATTACGCCGGTGAGCAACACTGTATACATGACTATGCGTCACACAGCAATATTGCAGGTAAAAAACAGAAAAGGAATTTACTGCACAAAGTCTTCAGCAACAAGAAAAGAAACCACAAATTTCAGACGCAACAAAAATGACTTCCGAATGCAACTCTGCTTTTAAGAGCGATATGTGCACAACAGCGCGATGAACAAGGCAAGATGGCGTCCGGCAAGAGGTCAGCCAATCACTTGCTTTGGGGATGCCTTTGCGGATATTTCAGGAACTTTCTACAGGGCCAGCGTTTCTCTCAACTGCGTTAACCTAAGTTAGCGATATAATCGCTAACTTCTATTAATTCTGTCAGTAACCACATGACCGAATAACAAAACAGAAATCAAAAACAGTATCGTACTTATAAACTGGCAACGTAATCGACCGAAGCGTAGCGAAGGTCATCTATGTTCAGCGAATATGGAAATGTGGTGTCCGTCCGTCGGTCACCGCCACTAAATGCACACATGCGCTCTGGCCGTATATACTCCCGCCCTATGTAACTGATGGTATCCGTCCGTCGGTCACCGCATATGAAAGTGAATAGATACAGTGGCCGTTTATACTCGCGATACATATAACTTGTGATGTCTGTGCGTCGGTCACCGCCACCAAATGCACATATGGACTGTAGTATTTGTTACTGGATACCCACCAGCTCCGTGGCCGTTATACTCCATGAACTTGGCGGTATCGGTACGTCCGTCGTTCACCGCATAGTCGCATACAAAACGAAAAGGGCACAGTGCGAGTTTATACACTCACGGCTTGTAGTAGCCGTGGTGTCATTTCTTTGGTAGTGCCCTTTGGTTCCGGTGCGTTATTTACTAACTAAGTACTGTCATCATGCAGATGTTTTTCCAGAAATACTTTAGAACACTTGAGCCGCTCGATGATAAAGCACTACCTCGTACGGAAAAGGTCACACGAAGCTACATGTGCGATGTCTGTAGTGTGTTGCGTGTGCGGCGAAATAAAAACGCCAAAACTATACCCTTTGCCATTTTTGTGATAGATAAAATTTAAAAACTTTTGTCTAACAATGCCTCTACGTAATACCGATACAGCCATCCTCGGGCTCTGTAAAACGTCCGTCGTAATTTGCCCCAAATATGCTGCCCTCTAGATTTTCAATTTAAGGGATTTGGTCCGGTACATAGTACCAAATTCGGGTACATACACGAGAACTTTCGCTGTCGCGCACTCCTAAACACTTTTTAATCATAGGCACCAAAATTAACACGCTAGCGTGGATACTTTTAGTGCTTCGGAATAGCTTTGCCGGCAGTGTGGTTTTATGTAAAACAACTGAATGCAGCAACTGTTTAGTATTGCTCATACAGACAGTAACGAGGCATCTTGTGGCCAACTATACCAGCTGCACAGGGACCTGCGGAAATACGTAGATCGATGTTTATTTTTGTTTATGGTGGTCGTAATAAAATGAAAAATGATCTCGAAGCACTATCATAATCAAGTCAGCACAATTGGGAAGATACGCGCGATACTTTGTCAGCTGGCAGTTTAAAACCGAGTGCATGTATGACAATAGCGCGCGGTTCTTACCAGTAAGTGTATCGATCCTCAGGGAAAGTCCTTCCGGTAACCTCTGAGATTTGATATCGTTCTTGCTATCCATTAAAACGAGGGCAATGCTAATGATGTGACTTACTTGATCAAACTTTTTTCGGACAGGGAGACCACTGGTAACCTGGAACCGAATAACTGTATCCTTTCACACGTAGATGGTAGATGGTACGTACCATCTACCACATGCAGCCAGGTGACCTTTACGCAGTTTTGCTCATTGACTGATCATATACGAATCCTTGATCGTTTCCACCTTGTAGACGCCAAAACTTCCCAACAAGTAGTCGAATCTGACGTAGACATCATGAAGTAAATTAGTAACATCATCTGCAGATCATCAGATGATGTTTGGCAAAATTCAGAAAACTGCGGAAGAGCGCTAAACAGAAGGCTTATGGATTCAAACATTTCAGGTGCGATAATGATCTTATTCCGCAGCTTAGTTATGAACGACCTGGAATAAATTGAAAAGTTTTAGTTAGGATAACCTGTTAAGAAAGCTTATAAAAATTATTCCGGTACAATTTCGGATATCAGTTTGTCAACTGTTTCCATTTCCTCCCAGAGCTCTTCGGTCCGAGCCAGCACCAAGTCCTCCAATTCATCGGTGAAATTCTCCAAACGCTGGCTTAGACTATCGACGACGTTTGTGCAACGGCATGTTTTTTTTCAAAAATGCGCATTATTTGTTCAATATTGCACTGCACTGATTGTCACAACCCATCGTTTTCGGATGATTTCATCCCCGCAGTTTACACTTACAGTACATGCAGCAATAGCGATGGTCAAAAATTAAAGGCATTCTAAAGTTTGCTTTTTTATGTCGGCATTATGTATTGTACAATACGTGCGGACTATCGCAACGTTTCCTGTCACTTATGTTTGCTATACGAGGAAACGTACAATGCATAAAGAAACTGAAAAATCGAGCCGAAAGTAGCAAGAAAGTGATCAGCCGCACGATAGTTAACTGTTTAGTTTCAAGGTGCACAAATTATGCCTTGCAAAATGGACGTAAGTTTTCTCAAAGCCATAACGACTCAAAGCCACATCAAGACAATGCTTTTTAGCAGTTTCTGGAACAGGATGCTGAAGTCAACCAAAATGTTTCGCATAGACCTTTTCCCTGCAATGAACAAAATTAGCTTAGCTCGATATTAGTACGAAATTAGCGTCAGTCATTAATGAAATGATTGTCATTTGCCATTATACTGCGCTGCAGTACTACGAGTAGTGTAAATTATTTGATCACTGTTAAGCGCTAGCATAAACTTTTATACTAGCGTATCCGCAGTTCCGATGTAGAAATACTCGTACTTTGATGTGTATTTCGCCACGGGAAGTTAATACATAGAAGTGGTCCATTTGCATGTCGGTTACCAGTTTGTTTACGTGACTGCTCACGTGAATTTTATTCGCTATGGGAATGAGAACCAATGGTGTGAGTAAATTACTACTGTACTTTGCGGAACGAGCATTGATCTTTACCGAGGCCCGAGCTTTCCATGCGACTGGCGATGTTGACAGTGTCTCCAAATCTAATTCAAGAAGAACATCGGAATAACGAAATCTCCCTGCTATATAATTCGTCAACAGCAGTAAGTGTCAGCTAGTAAATAACCGCTGTGGCAAGCTGTCAGACAGTGGAACTACTCCAGACGTCTGCTGAAATTACTGTACTAATAATCAACTTATGAAAGGTATTTCTGCATTACGTTAAGCTTACAAACAGTATCGAGGCATCTTGTGTCCGACAATACCGGCTGCGCAGGACCCTGCCAAATGGATTCACTTTACGTACGTTTTCATGTATCATTTTCCAGTGAAAAAATTCCGGTGTACTGCATACATAAGTATAGATAGAAGTAAAGATAGACTTAGATAGTATTCAGACATTGACGAGGAGCACTAGTGCTCAGCCTGCTTTCGCAACTTTGAAAGCTTCTAAATTTTAATACAGTGCCGTAATTTAATTCTAGTGCCGATTGTATACAGGCAAATAGTCCTTACCAGTATGAACACCAATTCGCAAATAAAGTCCTTCCGGCAACGTCGGATATTGAATATCCCGCTTGCTCTCCATTAAAGCGACCGCAAGGTTCAAGATGTGGCTAACGTGGTCCGATTTGTTTCTGATAGGGAGACCGCTGGCAACCTAGAATACAAGCGTCTGTACTGAGTCCAAGCAAGTATCTTAATTTACCGTAGCGCCGCTTTAGCTCTCCCATACCATGTAAGAATCCTTAATGGTTTCCACTTTGTATACGTCGAAACTTTCCAGCAGATAATCAAATCTAACGTAGACATCATGAAGCAGATGAATAACATCAGTTGAATCTGATGTTTGACAGAATTCGGCAAACTGAGGAAGAGCACTGAAGAGAAGACTAATGGATTCAAAGATCTCTGGTGGAATTTCAGTTTTATTCCGAAGTCTAGCAACAAATGACCTGGAAAAAAATTCCAAACGTTTAACCAGCCAATTGTGGAACAAGGAACAGATTGAAACCGAGAAAACGCTGAAGAAAGCTCTTTACCTTGGAACAATTTCAGACAGTAGTTCGTCCACCTTAATCATTTCCTCCCAAAGCTCTTGGGTCCGAGCCAGCACCAGCTGTTCCAATTCGTTAGTGAAGTTCTCCAAACGTTTGATCAGGCTATCGACCACATTTGCACGCCGATATGTCCTCCCAAAACTGCGCATGATTTGCTCAATTGTTGGCCGCTCCGATGGATGGTGTCTTATCATCGACGAGAGCAGTGACCGTATTGGTAGCACTTGTATTGTGCCAACTGCAATTCGCTCATACTGCACCTTCTTTTTTATTATGGCCTGCAATTCTTCCGATTTCTCTGTGAAAAATTTGGGAGGTCCTTTGTTATTGTTTTTCTGTTTTTCTATTTGTCAGTTTTACCTTCAAGTTTTGTCACTGATTTAAAGTCAATATCCATTGGCGTTTTGCCAGTAATCACTTCGGCCATGATAACACCCATACCGAACACATCTGCTGAATGCGATCCGGGTAACCGTGGATTGGCTAGGACTTCTGGAGCCAGCCAGAACTTATGCAGCTGTGAATGGTAGCGCTGGCATGTGTCAAATAATCGCAGGTGCATCTTGCTGGTGCCTGCCGTAGCCAGTTGTAAAGAGAACCGTTTATCCACCATGCAGTTCAAGCTGCATAACGATCCATGAAATCCAAGCCGGCTTTTTCTTAAGTACTGCACGGCCTAAAATATTAAAGAAAATTGTTAAATGTGAAATTTAAGTGAATCAAAAAATAGGAGCAGAAGCGCGTTAAGTGGAAACGTTCACAGTGACCTTTATAAGATCCCAGCATAGTGATCCTCGGATATCATGACTGAGCAGTAATCGATCGCTGTCAATTAGCGATCGGAGTATCCCACGTGCCCCGAAATCCCAGATTAGCATAACAGCCTCATTACACATGTACAGCCCGCGAAGTTTCTGAATATTGTCTTGGCTCAGTGATCTGACCTACGAAAAGCGTTATACGAACGAATAGTTTGTTGAGTTAGTTAACCAAGGGCAAACATGTTGACCGAATGCGTGCGGAATTACCTCTAGTAGCGCATCGACGATTTTGCGTTTGGACGATATCTGCGTCTCGGTTAATCTTGTACGCAAACACTCTGCCCAAATAAGCTGATGTTTCTCATATATGTATAGATGATCAGCGCAGTGTTTTGTCGCATCATCCAGGTTAATTTCCTTAATGGTTCCGGAAGTGTCACGGAACGGCGTAAGCGGAAACGTCGACGGATAAAGATACCAATCAGCAAGTGACCTTATGGCACGCAGCGACAGAATTCTGTACAGTGATTCAAAATATTTGGCATATTACAACATACAATGTAACTTAGTATGTCGTCACGAAAACAGCATAACATACTTCAGGAGAATGCTAAACGCAATCAGTCCAAGTCCTAGAACGACGCCAGCTGCTGTGCCGATTTCCCAAAGGTATGCTGTATCGTAAATTAAAAGCAAGTTTTACATACACTACATCAACATGGGGTATCATTCGCAGATGCCAGGCGAATAATATTAGTGTGAAACTACTGAAATAATAATATTTTCTGAATTACAAGTGCGTACAGTTAGGCACGAGGCATTTGTCATTGAGAAAACCACATTCAGGGACATCGGTGGGGATTTTTCCACTTTCCGGCCAAGCCGCAGCCAGATGTGGCGACATTGTATGCAGCGTGGCATCTTTCACTGAGTACTTCCAGGCCAGCTGCGTAATAAATATTTAATTTTGGAAACTACTATTGTAATCAATGAAATACAACAACTACCACTGCTGTATTCCTGGAAAACTGGTAGTCTAGGTAGGGCACGATGCATTCAATAATGGCTAACCTCTTCCGTGAACGAACTATTATCCATCCGCCAAAAATTTACGTCAATCGTCCGAATTCCTCGATCATTAATTAAAAATCCACGAGAATCGTATTCAAAATAACGATTATAAAATCTTTTCACAAAACTACGACCGTCCATATCAAATGCGCCCATGGTTGTATTCAGCATGTTGCTGTAGACCTATGTTCAGCGGCATAAAAACGTTGAATTTAACCGAAAGTAAAACGCGCATCTAGGCAATCTTTGTTCTGTACACACCTCCGCGAATGTATTAATGGTTTCGTACGACGCCATTGTTAAATCGTTTATCTGCATCGAAACACAATAGAACGATTTCTTATAATGAGAAAATCGTTGCCATCCACGTACCTCTCCCTTCCGGTAAGTATAGTTATACACTTCTTTCGCGACCGCCGACATTTTTGCCACAATCTGAGCGACTTTGGTCCAATTGGTGGCCAAATTGTTGGCTACGATCAGCGTTTTCATTGCTCGCAGGGCAACCTAACATAAGACAACCGGCAAGCTGATTGGCCAAATATCATAAAATATCTGGTTCCTATATTTGATGCACCACCTCATCAAAAATGTCGTTCTTCTTCCAGATTTGTTCTTGAGAGATTTTAGTTAAAAGCCCTTGAGCGGTTAAGAAAACCTAAAATGCCCAAAAATATCGTCTTTTTTTGCAACCAGTTGATTTAGCGAAAGGTCATTATCCAGCTTACATAATCTCCTTGGGTCATGTTTAAACCGTCTGCTAGTATCTGCAAGGAAACCGATCAACCCTCAAGTTTCCAGGAACGACCTTTGCGGAGTAGAATCAAGAATGCTCTAACCATGAATGTTCGCACTACGGCCAGATCCGCGTATATCAGAACAACTAGGGAAATGCATATCGTAAAATTAGCACTCATGCAAATCGTAAAATGCATAAAGTATCGTAAAATTAAAATATCGTAAATCATATCGTAAAATCATATTGTAAAATGTATATCGTAAAATTAGTAAAAATTAGTTCGGCGTTAAGTGCACCGAATTTTACCGGCATACTTCTGCTTTGTAATTTCGTCATTTCCAGAATGCCAGAGAAGCTACTATTGTTGTCAGCTGGATCAAAATCGTGGATGTTCACCACATACTTCCCGGAACCGTTGATCAGCCGCTTCTGGATGGTGGAGCACGCTATTGAGCTGAATCCAGTCGATGCGACGTTCTTAGATAGACGATCACATAACAGTGATACGGTTCGCCAGCCAAAGAAATCAAGAAAATGGTGTGTGCCCAGCGCGAGCGATGCCTGATCAGTTGGTCCCATTATCAGTGTGGTGGCGTAACGGGCACGATTGGAAAATGCCGCATCACCGGCCATTCTGTACAAAATCGGCATTCGCATCATAGCGTCAACTTCAAGGACATTATCATTTGGTAGGCTGACATCACACCGCCAAAATATTCGCGAGGCACAAATAATTGGTAACTTACGATGCTAGCAAGGCCAGGTTCCACTCTATGAGCGAAAAAGACATATCAACTTGTGACATTACATAATTTTCATCAACCAAATGGTCAATTTTGTTATAGCGACGTAAATGCATACAGACACTGTACGCTTAAAATACTCGTATAAATTTTCTGATTAACGGACACATAATTTACATACTCGTACCGGAATAACTCACCTCGCGCAAAATCACCAAACACCAGGACTTCCAGACTACATCCTGCCCAACAATGACAAATTAAAAATTTAGAGCAATTTGGTAATAAGTAATACCTAATAAGATTGTGTGTGCGTCTCGCTTCTTTCCATTATTAACAATAATCCTGTCCATTGATTTAATACTGTGCATTTTTTATTTTGACACAAACTATGCGTTTTATAATATTTAAGTAGATATGAAAAAATTAATGTATGTATTACCAGCGGACAATAGAACCGTTGGTTCCGTGGACGCCATAATGGTGTTGGTCATGTTACCCAGCACGTTCGCAATGTTATCGGTGGCGCCAGCGCAGGACAAAGCTCCTGGTCGATACACCGTTACCCGTGTGATGTTGTCAAGAATCCCACCAAATCTGGCACTGGCGTCCGCAAAGGCCACATCAAATGCCGGCCCAGTCAACTGGATGCCGGACGAGGGATTGTCACCCACAATTACCGTTATCACCCGCAACGCACCAATCGCATGTGGCAGAAAAATCATCAGAAATAAAGCGCGCATTGCACGGATTTTGACTGCGGTGTGCCGGTCAGTTCTGAGCATGAGCGGAAAAGAAGTTTAGCAGCAGAACTGGTCAAGGGCGCATTAGAACTAGGCCGGAATTTTCTGTGCAGTGTTGTGATGTTGCATTTCCGCTGTATCGGCGCTTTGTGTAGTCCAAGAGCGAGAAACTGCACATGGCATTTTTACGAAGGACACAACACCGTTGGTGTATTGCGCTCAGTAATACTGCTGATCTAGTCTGTTTTATGACGCAAAGAACATTGTTATTGTACGTGTCAAGACTGGCGTGCTCATTCCTAGAGCAGCAAATCCATTGTCGATCCAATGCGGACTAAAGTAACGAAGATTGTCGATACATGTATATATATTATTAAACGCACACATCAATCAATATATGAATTATGAAGTTGCAAATAACTGGAGAATCCGTTCAGCCAATTTTCAATTGCTAGAGTGAGCGTAGTTATTAAGATACAGCAAAGGCAAAGCCGAATTAGATTCTCACTCCCTATAAATTATCATTCCGGTGGGATTAAATAACTCCCTTCACAGGACATCTATCCTATACACCACAGCTATTTCGGGTAGTTCGCTTTTACGGTAATAAAATAAGTTGCAGTGCTATAAATTCTACACATGCCGACAAGCCCGCCGTCTATAGTTAACGAAATATTGCGTAGATATACAGGTATAAGCCGGGGCCAGGCGATATCGGTCTCAAATTGCGTACTTTTTGCAGAAGTCGCATTTTGACGGTAGCAAACAAACATTCGATTACATTTATTAATTAATGCAAACTAAAATTATTGCATTAGTTAAAATGGTGTATGAATTCGCAGTAGTTGAGTTGCGTGATGAATTCGCCATTCAGTATTAGTAATCGTATACTAATACTGAATGGCGAATTCATCACGCGAATTAGCAACGGTACCATCGCTAATGAGGTGTGATTTCGGCTCTATTGTGTCATTTGGAATGAGACGCTCCACAAGGTTAAGCATATGCGTCTATGGGAAAAACACCAGTGCAGTCCATATTTCCAAGTGTATACGCTCTTCTACTTGTTTTTTTCAAGCACAATCAAAGAGGACTTGTTCAGTACAAAAAGTCCTACAAAACTAAACTAATCTTAACAATTTTAGCTGTATCAACTAAATGTCACACACAATTTCCTACAAAAGTAAATGATGTCCCACGTTATAACTCTTGCCATATACACGCACCCAGGGCGGCGAATTCGCTGTACTTGCACAGCTTTCGTTACTCTAGTACAGAACCTGTGAAGTGTGAGCGTCATTTACTTGTCGTTACAACGACTGAGAAAAACGTTTTATGACAAGTTTTTTAGTAACGACTTACATATGTTACACTTTTACTGCCTTTACTTTATAATAATATATTTACAACTTCTGTATTTGCACTTTTTCAGCAATTTATTACTAATCATTAAAATTTTGGATAAAACTGAACTAGTTTTGAAAAGTTTAAACGGATCTTTGAAGTGCTGCAAGCACAAACAATAACGATGTCAATTTTGTAACAACTTAAGCTTATATTACTATTTGAAAATATACTGTAACGTTTGCACGGTGATCCAATATCAATATTTTCGCTGAAAGACGTTTTCCTTTGTATCATAAAAGTATATAGTAGTAGCTAGTACTTGAAACTACTATTTTGTAAACACTATCTGAATTATTTACATATCCTGAAGATATCCCAGAAAGCGCATGCGCGCCCTATAACATCCTAAATAAACTTTTACAGTATTTAGCGGGCGTTTTAGAGAATCGCAGTTATAATCAAATTAGCTACTACAGCCATTCCACAAGATCAAGCAATTGTCGTTAATCCACAGGCTATTCACAGAATGTTTTGGAACTACTTACAGTAAACACAATTCAAAAATATTTTCATTTTCACATTTTGCGTAGCATATAATTTCAACACTGAACTCGCAAACATATTTGCACCATGTCAGTGCAAAAGCATGGTTAGATTACTTCCATGTATACTCGTATGACATTTCAGTAATAAAGTGTATAACTTTGTTTAAATGTGTTATAGTAAGCGACATTAAAAGCAAAACGATATTAAACGACGAAACAACAGAGTGATTCCGAATAGAGTTCTGCATATGGCGGTATATGTCTCATGATATTCTCTCATTCCAAATGACAAGCGCTACGCACGCTACGCCTCTTATACCCTCGGCACGCCTGATGGTACCGTTGCTAATTGCGACATGCATTGACCGTTTGACCGTAGCCCATATTGGTATAGTTTCTGAAATCACTGCGTCTAGATAATTTTCTACCGCTTACGGGAAAGGAAAGCAGTTTAACCTGTAGCAAAAATATAATACAAACCAACAGAAATTCCCATGGATGCCAAAATCTGTTTTGATTCCGATTGCGTACTCGAATTTTGGGAGCGTACAATAATCGAGTGCATCTGTCACTGTGCACGCTCTGAATTGGGAGCAGTTGACAAACGCACCGAAATTGTGGAGGCATACAGCAGATGCTGTAAATTATACGCATATACAGTATATCCGTGGCCGAATCTACCGTAGTAATATCCTAAGAATGCAGAAGATACCGTAATTTTGCATGCGGCTACAATTCTCCAAGGTACAGTGCAATACGAAATTCTAACTCATAAAATAATAACTTAAGGTGCGATACTGGGTATTGTGACAGAAACGACTTCGCGAAATGTCTTATATGGCAAAGTAGTGTATTATCCCTTATTTAAGTGAGAACCACCTGTTTTAAAGCTGGTCACCTTTTAGCGCACGAAGGAGCTTATATTATTGATTGTTCTGTACTTCGTATTAGGTAGATCTTTTTTGTGTTTTATTTTAACTAATTGTACAGCTAATTACAAGTTCCTGGCTGGTCTGGATTACGAAGATCCGTACGCAAAATACAGCACGTTACCGGCATCCGCCGGTGTCGATGCATCTCAGCGACGTAACGCCCGGCCGCAGGCCACTCACAAATTCGGTAGTGCTGCAGCAGACACGTTGCCGACTGCAAACTGGTTCTGGCATCAAGAAAAAAAGAAATGAATTACGATGCAGCCGGCTAATCAGCGCAGCGGAAAAGCGTTGTACAAATATGTACATACTCACACAAGTGGAATTACTTATAACGTGCTAATGTCGGTGCGCGTTTATTGCTACTGTATAATATTATGTGGAGAGCGCGCTGTGACGGATTGATTTGCTTGATACTTACTGTTTTTCCGCTCCTCCGCGACGACCTGTTGGATTATTATTGGCCATATGAGCATTGACTTTGCCCAATGCACCATCCGCATATGTAATGGATGGACTACAGTAACCGCTAATTTGGTTACGAATCACTGTGACAGAATTGGCTTGACGAATTATTCGGTTACCACATACAAGCGGAAGAAAGCTGTAGCAGTTCCCTCGTTATAGCGGAAATAATATTTACTTGTACGCAGCATCATTGTTTTCTGCCAGCCATTATCATTTTATTCAGGTGAGAATAAAATTTGTTTAAATTGTCATATATTATAGTATATATTACCCAAGCTTTGTCATAACAGTTTGTCGCGCTATGAGTAATACTAGTAGGACTCAGAAATTTCTCATTTCCGGATTAGGCATACTAATACTTATTTTTAGTCGTAATTAGTATCTGTTAGGAAAAATTAACGTAACACTTAGTATAACGTAACACTTAGTATAACAGAATTCAAGCATAACAGAATCGGCGTGTACTTAGTTATTACTATACATGGTTTTTGCCTGAAGAAAAGTATTATGTTCGTGCTTTTCCTCTTGACTCCAGTAGACGCCGCTTGTTTGATGGTACCATGCCTCTTACGAGTTACAAGTGCATACTGATTTTTGTTATTTAAATATAACAACACTATTTGATGGAATTATTTTAACAGTAAAAGTTTCGGGTTTTCTTAGTTTTCGCTTGCGCTTTTAATGACTTGCGCTTTAAACAATATAATATTTCTGTATCTGTATGTATGTGGAAATACAGACTACTATGTACACCTACAGCTAAATATTGCCTGTGTGCCAAAACTGATTATTAATGAGCTGCGCTGCAGCGTTTGTAAATGGAATTGCAGGTATTTTGCACCCTTGTCAAAGATCGCCTGTCTTGTGAGCAAGTTTTCCTAAACGTCTGCATTATTATTGCGGCATGCATTGACGGCCTTAAAGGAAAGTTGTTTTTAGTGCACTGCGGCATCCGCAGCATGCAGCATGTGTTGTGCTCCGTACAATGCCGGCGCATTCATGCGATAGTGCCAGCTCGTATAAGCAGTCCATTGCCTACTTTAAACAGTAACAAGAGCTACTTGGCTAATTTTAATCAATTCGTACTTCCTTGTGCTTTTCTGCTAGAAAACTGGGCGGCGTATATATATAACAATTTTTCAGTCATAATTAAATTTATCTCAGCCAATAATCAAATTTTTTAATTTTTTTTAAAATTTGACGCCAACCGAGCCATCTCGATTACTTGTTTCGAGATGTGGTTTTGTTTTCATTAGCAAATTTAAATAAACGAATGCATTTTACGTATATTACAGTAAATGCGTTCCTTATCCTCGAAGAAACTGTTTTGTCTCAGATTTCTCTTCTACAAAGCTGAAGAACATCAAAGGAAATAAAAAAGCTTTTGCATATGAATGCGTCGCCGCTATTACAAAGCACTTGTTGATGAGTAGCATAACTCATAAAGCATTTCTTCTTGCCTGTTGACAACAACACCGAAATCCAGTTTTTTTAGCCGGGCGGACAGTTTGACGACGCATCCACCAAACGTTCGTGAAGTGATATGTATTATTATTAGATCGTCGTTCACATAATCACTAACGTGAACGACAGAATTGGTTGTTTCGAATTTATTTTTTAGTGCAAACAATAACTCTGCGCACCATTATTGCTGGTGCATCTATAGAAATAAAGTTTAATGATCACCATACTTTAATAACGAATGATGTATTATTACTGCGCTTTTTCTAAGCACTTCTAAATCGGGTTAAACGAAGCAGGGTATAATAATCAAACATATGACTAGCAGTATCTATTTTTTCCATAGGCGAACGGAATCGAACGCAAAACTGCTGTGGCGGAGAAGAGAGATGGAATATTAATGATTTGAAAAGCTGCTGCACGATCCGTTGTGCTTGGACGGTTTTCTTGGTCGACAATGTCGCTGCGCATGTGCATTTGTATAGGTATGTACACAGTACATTAGCGACATTTTATTTGCCATGTATACAATCGCACCTTGTAACGACTTCCTTATATTAGAGTGTATATGTTAGCGTTCTGCGTCACCATGGAAAGATGAGTTATGCACTACGGAAAGACCGCTCTCCCGTGGTCGCTCTGACACCCACCGCCACCGAGAAGCCCCCCACCGGAAATCAATCCCGTGTCCATGTGCCTGCTGACCGTTCGACGCGCAGTGCCCTCCCGCCCACCTCCAGCTTCCTGCGCAACCGCTACAACTTCCTCCGCAAGACCGAGGACGCCGGCGCGAAAAAGCCGGCAACGGACAGCGGTGTCGCGCCGGCGCCCATGTCCGAAGTGAACCCGGTGTACAGCAGCACCGACCGCGTCCACGCCGATGCCGACAGCAGCAACATCTCCACGCTTAACGTCACAATCAATCCGAAGTTCGACGAACCGGCTGACACGGAGCGGACACCGACTGCCACCCGCCCCGAGCTACCGCCCAAACCGGTTCTAACCGAGATCCAACGACCGGCAGAACCGGCATCACCCTCCGAAAGTCCGACAAAGAAAGGTCGCGGGATCTTGCGGGTGGCTTCCCTCCGCGGGATCCGTTCGCGGACGCCATCCCCGAAGAAAAAAGAGGAGTTCCTGCAGGAGAGCGTGATGTACACGAAACTGAAACCGGCCCCGCCGGAGCCACCGTTAAGTGGCAATCGGCAACATCTACTGCGGCGCCGCACTCCGGAGAACGTAACCCGCGTGGAGGTGTCCGCGCCGCAGCTGGTCAGCTCCACGGCAACCGGCGCCACCACCATCCAGATCGGTGGCGCACGGGCGCCGTCACCCGCTCCGCAGAAGACAACCGTTATACCGTCGCCGGTTCATGTGCAACATCCGGTCAGTAAGGTCAACGTCATTGTGGAGCCCCCTCCCGGCACTCCCGACATCCCGCCGATGAAAGTTATCCCGTCACCGGTCCAACCGTTTCCAGATGCGAAACCGGAGCCGACCATCACGCCGGTGTATAGTCAGTTAAGCCAGGCACGAGCCATGCTGAAGAGCACGACAACCACGAAAAGCGAGCATTTCTCGTCAGCGGCGTCCACGTCTTCTTTCATTCAGCCGAACATCCGTCCGATTCCGCCGCGGAAACCGTTGCGTCGCAATGAGATTACCGAGACGCTGATGGAAGTGCTCCCGCAGAAGACACAAGCTCCTGGGCAAAATATTCCCATCGAGCTGCACAAAGAGGCGGGTGGAGTCAGCGGAAGTCGAAAACACACTAGCATCAATATCAACCGCATCTCCAGCAATCTGACGCCAGCGGCACCGGTGGCGAGGGAAATGCCGGTTAATATTCGACGGGAAGAGGAAGTCATGACGCCAACGTATGAAGGACATATGAATTTCGACGACGATATTCGGTCGAATTTCTCATCGCATATGGGGTATGAACCCTCGTCGGCGGATGAGACAACCGAAGAGCTGGTTAAGAAATCACTGGTTAAAGCGTCACATGGGCATATGCGGAAAAGTCACAGCACGACAATTGGGAATATTCAGGAGGAACCCAGAGCAAGTCCCATAGAAGTAAGGATTAAAGCCTTTCACGTGCTTTACAATTTTGTTGCCAGTTTGAGTTATGTAAATGTTTAACTGGCATCATATCTTCAACATACATTTCGCCGTTCATAATTTTCGAACTAACTGAATTTTATTAAGTCTTGTGCATTAGTTCTCCATCGTTCTGATGTAGTGCGCAATACTTTATAGCCATTAATTTTAGATGCGCGAATGAGCTATTACAAAGTCATATAAATATATTTATAGGAAACCAAACCGGCACCGCCATCAAACTTCGAACCAACCAGTAATCAAAATACCGCCGTCGAAAAAGCCTCCCATTATAAAACCACACTGGCTACGCGCGGCTACAAGCCGGCGGTGGCGTATACATCGCCCGATGAAAGTGATTCGTCGCGTGGAGGTGGGCGTGTGGGGGGCGGCGGGGGCCGGGTGTCGTACATTGCCTCCACGCGGCCCAGCCGGCTGGTGGAACGCAGTCAGCATCACATCGCTACCGACATCGCTCCCGCGCCGGTGCCGCGTGAACCACCAGTACCGGCGACACAGGATGTGACGTCAGCCGGTCGGAGGAAGTATGCGGAACGACGTTTGGTGCTGCGCAACTTTGAGGATGCACTGCAGCGGAAGCGGCAGACGAGTGCGTCGTCGGTGGACAGCGGCGACAGTCACGAGTATGATAGTCTGCGGGATCGTGCGTTCGAGCAGCGCGGAAATGTGGGCGGGAACAAGAATGGGTATATGGGACGGCTTGCAGCTGGCACCGCATATGATAGGTAAGTTTGTTAACTGTAGAAGAACTATCGACTCTCGCTTATTGTTAACGGGTTTTTATAATAGCTTTTTTTGCTGAGCGTATTGCAGTACAATTTCTAGCTGCACCGCTTTTTGTATTTTTATCAGGAGCTGTAAATATAGAACAAGTTTTATATATGCGTGATGTAGTGGAAGTGCAAAACCGATGAGCTCGTAATTGCACGTTTTCTTTTCCGTTTTCTTTTTCCCCTAACAGAAACACTTCGCCATGAACTGTAGTTATCATAAGGGTTTTTTTATAATACTCTGTATAGTCCATAGAATAGCTGATTTCTGCCGTTTCTGTTTGTACCAAAGTTTACGATTATTTTGGAAACACTGAATTGCTCTTGGTGTCGCTGCCGTTCGGTGTTTGCATATACGACATATCGCCAAAGAAAACCGGTTGAGCGCCAATCGCCAACAAAAAGGCGGCACACGAATGCTCAATTTTTATAGCAAATGATCTTTAGTTTTGCATAGTCTTGCAAAATTCATTGTCATGGGGCCACAAGGTATTCAGAGCAAGAACAGAACATACAGTATGCTGCATATACGAGTAACTATACGAAAGATATCTACAAGCGCATACGAAAAAGTTTGAATTTTTTGGATAAATGACTAGCGCGCAGACGTCTAATTAGACGGACAAAAATCATAAAATATTTTCAGAAATTTTCAGTTCCAAGTTCCGCAAGCGAGCGAATTCTAATGAATATTCATCACTCGGTGTACACATAACGCGGCAAAGTTTGGCACAGCTGAGCGGTTAAATCCTCCTGAAAAAAATAAAGCGTAAATGCAGCATTTGGCAAAAAAACTTTGTAATAACAACTGACCAGTGGTTCCAGTTCCTTTTTCGATACCAGATCGAATTCAGTGATGAAGAAATAGTAGTGTTTATAGCACAAATTTACGTGCGGCACCTGTTGAGAAAGAACTTATGAATTACGAATACTAACAACCAGTACAACTAGCAACCAGCAACCAGTACAACTAACAACTAGCAACCAGTCAGCTTCCGGTTAGCAAAGTTAATTCGGTTAGACTTACCGCTTCAAGTTCCATCAGTCTATCGAAATGGTGAATGTAGATGTGTACAAACACGCGGTACATTCTCGAGACGATCTTCTTGCACGTCGCTGTGAAATTACTAGGGAAGGGTACATCTGCAAATATTATCAGTTTTTAAAACGTTTATATAAACTTAAACGGTAAAAGTTTCAACATACGTAAAGAGCTGAAAAAATAAATACGAACAGATATACTACTCTTCCTTTCAGTTGGTGCATTTTATCACAATTTATGCAATACTTCCGACGCGTATCAACATTTTTCTTGAGGTGAAAATTCTTATATCGAGAATATGCGTTTACAATGTAAATCTGAAAAAGTACTAACGCACAAGCCAATCTTTTTTCGTTTTCTGTAGCGTTTGTGAATAACACTATACTATTATTCTTTAAAAAAAGGATGCGTGGTTTACCGACAAAAACGGGGAAGACCTTCTGATCATTGACAGTGTTGTCCACCCAGTCGAGAAGTAGCCCAATATACTGACTCGCCGGCATTCTCGTGGGTTTCTTATAATGTACGCCGTCGCTCCAAAAGTATTCGTACCTGCATAACACACAATAATCACCATCATCAGAGAGTGTAATCCAATACATTTACTCATAATGTTTGCCGCAACAAGCTCGTCAATTGAGCCGGATAAGACAACAAACGAAGTGTGAATTGCGAATAATGATTACTTGTGGCCAGCGGACATGGTGGGACACGACTGCGGCGTGCAGTACTCGCTAACCTACAAAAATCACCCATGCTCGAAACGCGTGAATCATCCGCAGTAATCATTTTTACTGCTAATATTATTATACATTCAGTACACGAATAATATGTGTTTTACTAAATGCGTTAACACAATTATTTTTATGGCTCACGCATTGCTTCACTCATTCTCTTAAAACTTGTAAATTATACAGAATCACTCGACTTTTCGTGCACCCTTGAACTTGGGTCAGTTCTATACACGGCACACTCAAATCGGTACTATATAATTTAGTCGAATTGCAAAACGCTGCGGTGTTAATCTGCCACTCACCGTGCCGTAGATGAGATTGATACGATTGAAAAAATCCACAACTGCAAAGTGGATAAAGTGCCGACAGTTAAGAGTCGTTAAATCGCTATGGGAAGCTGCATTAAGCGGTTAAATATACGGAAAAATTAAAAATCTCACTGTGAACGGCGATCCAATCCTCTAATTTTTCCCCATCCGGAAGTTTGACCGTTCTTTTCAGATCGGTCTGGGTAACCAACGACGCCATTGCGCGTTTATGCAGAGAGTATTTCAATGTACCGGGGGTAAAATGTTTCTTGGGGCGAAATGTCTGCAACAAAAAAATTACAGATGTAGCAGCACCAAGTAGCTTTGTTAACGGGCCAAATACAAGCACATTCAGTAGCATCAAATATTTTTTTAAGACCTGCAAACTCAATACGTTTCGCAAACTGATGAGATTATTCGGATTATTGCAATAAATCAGAGCAGAACTGTAAATCATAACGACAGTACATTTAGCAAATTTTTCGCAAATATTTAGTGATCTAACCATTAAATAATTTTACATAATCTCCAGCTGACATACGCTGCTCATACGTGCCGCATTCCTGGCAGGTAAAGCATTGTAATACACAATGAATGTTCATTGCCAAAATATGTATTGTAATCTGTTTCAGCCAATACGTGCACGCAACGATGCGTTTAAAATCCATCCAGAAATTAAATTGTAACAAATGAAAAATTTGTAGAATATTTTCAGTTAATCGGATAAAATAGCTAGTAATTCATTGATAATTCTATATATACCTTCTTTCGATTAAAGAAATCCATAAACATGGAATGTCCCGAGAGGAAGTGGATGCGATCTTTATCGATTTTAGGCGGCATGGTGTGTTAATTACGTTACGCTACAATCCATAAAAATCGACTTCAATCAAATCCGCATTACCGATATTTCGTCCCATAAAAACCGTCGAAAGCGTCGGCGAAAACAATGACAGACCAGAATACAGGTCGACAAGCGCGAAAAATACTTTGTGCTTCGATGTGCGCAAGAACTCCGACTCTCGGCACAACAAAGTAGTGTGTACCCAATGAATAATTTTTCGGCTGTAATATAAATAAAGCGACGATGGCACTTGCAAGTCACCACGGCGACTTAACGCATAATCAGCGCGTGTTTCCCATCTAGGCAGCCGTAGCGGCTGCACCAGCACATCGTGGCATATACGCATCAAACGTCGCTATTGTACCTTTCCGTTAATGTCACTACAGTACAAGCACGGATTAACCTATCACACTGTAACACCTTCAACACCGGTATTCTTTACCTGTACACCGGTGCTGCATACATTACAGACGAATACAGTGGAAAAACACTGTGCAGCTGAACTTTCAACCTGAAAAACACCGCGAAAGAAAAACGTGCTGAATCTTTGCGCATCGCTTCGCACATTTTTGGTTGGTTTGTAGTGAACATAGTTGAGAATTGTTGTACACCTACGCACCGATACAGAGTGTTCAGTAGGTGGTTCCCGCAGGCGGCTTCGGCAATACATTATTGTTCAGTATAATTGTGATGTATTATGTTATATAGTAATTCATTCTGCATAAAGATCATTCATAACCAGCTTATATTGTCGACGGGCCGTGTGACTTGCGGAAGCGTCTTATAGTACAAAGTACCACAAACGTCTGACACAGTGTGTTTGACATTCTCCATGCTACTGTCTTTTAAACAAATTCTTGCAAATATGCCGGTGTGTGCTGTAAGCGGTTTAAATGGAAAACCGCTGAGAATGCAGTGTGGAGTGTTTGTTAACACGCCTAATTCTTGTAGGCTTTCTTCCGCTTGGCAGAATCGACGCTATGCTGCTGACTTTTGCCGTTGATTAACAGACTTACTTTTATTTACAAGCATGTAAATGTTTGAGCACTCTGCGTGAACACATGTTCCCCAGAGTATGATCAGGATTTCGTCAAATACGAGTACAACAAACATTTCATGACCTTTGACATTTCTCCTTCCGAAATGTTATGATGTGCTTTAAATCACGTTTTTCTCCGGCTTATGAAATAGATTAACTTAACAAGAAAATTACCGACCAGAGCCATACTAATAAAATATTGCAGCACAATGCAACAGGTGACTACCGCACAGCAAATACAGCGAAATCATCAGTCATGATGAACCCGTGAGCAACTACAGTCTACAGATACAGTACATTGGGTGAGCAAAGAATCGCATGATGCGACTTTATCTCACTTGTCAGCCACGATTGCTAGGCATTAGCATACATGGCAATAAAGCGAAGCACCAGTTATTTTTATAATCTGGGAGTGCAGTAAATGGTTGACTTCAATGTCATTAATTTTTACGTAATTACACGCTTGAGTTTTATTACATACTATTTAATAATGGGCGTCCGGATATCCGTAGCATGTTTAACAGGCCGGAATCGCCAACATACAATTCCGTTTGTAGGCAAAAATCCAGCGCAGTGACACGTTCCCGCTACGAGCACTGGTCCAGCGACGACGGCGCCTCCGACTCCATCGGCATCCCGGAGCCCCTTCCGGAGTACGAGTACCCCAACCGCATCCAGGGTCGCACTATCCAGGAGGAGCAGCAGATCCGCGAGACCGTCCGCCTCCGCTCCAACTCCTCCTCGTCATCCGGCTCCGAGCACTCACCGACCCGCGGCTACAGCGACGCCCACCGCGAGCGTCACCACTTCAGCCGGCACTTCGAAATCTCCCCGGAAGAACTGCACACCGCCCGCTCCCTCATTCACCACCGCCTCCCGCCCACTTACACCGAACCGCCGCCCCCGATGGTCACCCAGCGTCACCCCTCGCAGTCACCGGCCCGTCGACCGCCACACCTCCCTCCACCCAGTCCGGTGCACGTTGGGCCGGTGGTGCACCATTCCGACGGGGAGACGCGCTACTATCCGGAAAAGCCCAAGAAGAAGCTGGGCATCGTGCGCCGCCTGTCAGAGTTAGTGCGGGGCGAACGGAAGTTTGGCAAGCGCAACGAATCTCCACCGACCATGGTCCGCAACGCCTCCAGTTCCTCCACAGAACAGATGGACCGGAAGACCCCGGAGCCGATCCCGGCGGTGGGGAGGCTCAGTGTACGCCGGCAGAGCCCGGTGCGGCGCTACCAGGATAAGCCGGGCAGCACCGGCGTCGTTCAGTGTGGAGCGGGGGGAGCTTTCTACGCCGGGCACCGGTGGCCAAAAATGCCTGGCTTCCGTAGTTCCGGGAACTTTCCGGATGCAACGGCGGCGTCCTTCGCGTACATGAATTAACCAGCGCCGCGGTGTATGCTTTCCCCGATAAACTGCAGAAGAAGCGAAATCTGTGACATCGATCCATGTCTGAACACAATCTTGACCAGCCACCGTTGGATTCGCAGTAGACCTTTATGCAGGCCCGCGCTGGGGTTTTTTGGTAGGGGGGGGGGGGCGGCGTTTTGGCTAAAATCCGCCGGGGTGGCGGCCAGAAACTGGTGGGGGCGGAGGGGTGCGGAAGGGGGCGCCATACTTTAAATTCGCCCCCCGGCGGTCAAAAACCGAAAAATCGCCGCCCCCACGGCGGCCAAAAATCGAGAAAGCGGGGGCGGCCGCCCCACCGCCCCTCCAACGCGGGCCTGCCTTTATGTATGAAGACCCGCATCGGTTAAACCGTCGAAGAGTGTGGAAAGTCTAACGGAGAGTGTGCATAAAGAGACATATCACGGCCCACTGATTGTTACGAACCGCACGTACAAAACCCGTACGGAACGGGTTACGAGGATCAACTTGATACCGTATGGAAAACAGGAAGGATTTTGGCGGCCGGTGAGCAATACCGCGCGTGTGCGCTCACCCTGCAGCAGTATATATGACAAAGTGGGGGTAAGAAAAAATTATTACATTTCATCATTAAGTTCACCTATTAAAATATATAAATTAAATATCAATAGCTATGAATAACCAAGGCTAAAAAGCTATGGTTATGCAATGTTGAAGTTCACATATTATATGTAACGTTTAAAATACATAACGTAATTGTATACTTACTGTTTATATGTGATTAAATGTCGATTTTTATATAATGCTACAGTGAGAGATTCTCGCTATCAAATATCCAGTATTTTATTTTAGAATGCGTTAGGTGTCATCTGTGATATCAGAGCGGTTATTACAGCAGTACCCCAGTGTTAGCCAGCACCAACATGCCAGCCGGTATGTATTCCCGTAACGCCCCACCGCTTGAACCCCCGCGCAGCTACGGTGCCAACTGGACCGCGCCCAGCACCGATGGCAATTCCGACCTCCAGTCATCCGTCGAAGAACGCATCCGCGTCCCAGCCGAATGCCCACTGGAACGTTCGCGCACCGAAATCGACCTGCGAGCCGCCACCGACCGCAGTGACCTTAACAGTGAACCACTCAGCACCACCGTGGACGAAGCGGTGCACCGCGCCCTGTCTCCCATCCACGAGCGCTTCCATGGACATGTCCAGGGTAAAGCGGATGTCGAGAAACTGGTCCAGGAAGTGAAGCGGACCGGGTCCACGGTGCAGAGCGTGGATATGGCGGCGCGCACCCGCACCCGCATGGCGGCCAATGATTACGCCTACCGGCGCTATCAGTCGGCGGCGGCCGGGATCAATCAGATTCCGGTGGAAAAGCCGCGGAGGAGGATCCCACGGGAGAGCCGTCCCATAGAAAGGGACAGTGCAAAACACTACACCAGTTCGTATCGCATAGAGATGCAGAATCCACCACCGGGCCCATCCGGCGGCGTAGTGGCGGAGCGGAGCCGGTTTTTCAATAATTTACCGGGAATGCGAAAAGAGTACGCTGTGCGTCGCTGAAAGCAGGCGTTTTCATGATAAATCGACAGATTTTCTAGCAAACGGAGCATCACATAATTAACCAATGTACTGTAATAATAATTTGGCTTTCAAATGGGGTTTTGCGCTTCTTCTGTGTTTCATCGTTTTCCATGACGACTGCCATTTCTGTGCAGACTTTTTGGCTGTTGATGTTCAAAACTGTATAACATACATGTAATTACTTTATTGATTTCATCTATGGCTTGTGTACGCTGTACAGATATAACTGTCTTTTATTTATACAAGCCCAACCTCGGCCTCTGGCCTCGGTCGGGAAAATGTAGAAATGAATTTGGATTATTGGTTTATTATTATAATTGTTAATAATGATTATAGAATTATTAATTAGCAAACTTTACGGTAATATGATGAACTACTACCTCTCAGTCTAATCGGCGAAAATCCTTGCCCCTTTGTTTGACCGGCGAAAATCCTTACTCTTGTGTCTGACCGGCGAAAACTCCTACCCCTCTGTCTAACCGTCGAAAATCTCTGTCCCTTTGTCTAACCGGCGGAAATTCATACCCCTCTGTCTATCCGGCGAAAATCCTTACCCTTGTGTCTGACCGGCAAAAACCCCTACCCCTCTGTTTTACCGGGGAAAACCTCTACCCATCTGTCTAACCGGCGAAAATCCCTGCCCCTGTGCTTGACCGGCGAAAATCCCTACCCTTTGTCTAACCGGCGAAAATCCCTGCCCCCGTGCTTACCGTCGAAAACCCCTCCCCCTTTTTCTAGCCGGCGAAAATCCTTAACTCTGTTCAACCGGCCAAAATTCTGTGCTGCTGTGTCCGCATGCTACAATTTCCCTTGCCGAATTGATTTTGCGGCAGGTTCATTGAACCGTGACAGGTTCTTATATGCGGTATACGACTAGAATCAGTCGTAGCATATATGAAACTGTAGTTTCGGTTTTTGGTCTTCGATATCCGTGTGTAAACAAAAGTAATTTTTGGCGCCCGTAGAGTACGGAAGGGTCCGGCCGGTTGAAGGAAGCGGTGGGGCCTAACAGTCATGTGACATGAGTCATGTGACATGCGTCGAGTAACGATGCGTGAAACTTGTAGATGGCGTTGTTAGCTCGGCATCTTTTTTAGGTCACATTATGTGCTCCTACATTATGTAGGAGCACCTTGCAATGTGCTCGTACATTATGCAGGAGCACATTGCATCGGTTTCATCGGTTCTTGGAGGAGAAAAAACGGAATTGTAGTACCCAAACAAACGTAATCCAATATGCTCCTGCAATGTGCTCCTACATATGTAGGAGCACATTGCAATGTGCTCCTATATATATGTGCTCCTACATATGTAGGAGCACATTGCAGGAGCATATTGTATGTGGAGATTATAAGGGGTAGGAATATAAAGTGCTGAATAGAGAATTTAATAATATAGTAAATTATATTAAAGGTGATATGTTTGACGAAAAGTGATAATGAAGAAAGGGTGTACTAATCCAGTGTAGCGAAGAAAGGGTCTACATTGAATTTGGGTGAAGATAAAGGGATTTTTACTGTAGTAGGGTATATAAATATATTCGACTTTCTGGTTGTTCGTATTTGAGAGTTTAATGAAGTGTTACAGGAAGTGGAGTGTGTTGCGGGTTGTGGATAGTGATGGATTATTGTGAAAAATTCAAGAAATTTCGAGAAAGTTGATTGCTTAATGGAGGAGACTATTACGTTTTGCTCTGATAGTCTTGGATGTGTAGGAACAGATGGTTTGTATATGGGAAGTAGGTTGGTAGGTACATTAAAAGGTTGTTCGAGAAAATGTATAGTTTAATTGGTTTATTGACTGGATTTTTTGAGTTCGGTGGGTATATAAGAAGTTGAGGAATCTTGTGTTTGAGTTATTATGGAGTGGACGAAGTATATGGAGTGAGCAAAATGTTTTTCTTGTTGGTTAGTTTTTGGTGGCCGGTGTGGATTTGTGGATACTTACTGATTCAGGTTGCTGTCTTTTGTTTGGCTTTGGTAAGTCTTTTTAGGTTGAGTATGGTTTAGTAAGTTTTCTTTCATACATTATTTTCGTTTAAGAATTCTTTTTTTAATAAAATAATGGAAGGTGGTTGTGATTGTACGAAATACATGCGTGAGTATATGCGTGATTATAGAAAGAAATGCAAAATCGAAACTGATGGTAATTATAGCAGGGAGGATAATGTGGAAGTGGTGATGATGTTAGATATGAGAATGTAAAAGTTAAAAACAAAAATGTAATCGGAATACTACAGGTGGTGTGTTTTCTGGTATGTTTGGAAAAAATTATTGAAGAATTTTTGGACAATTATTGGACAATTTTTGTAAAGGGAACGTGCTAAACGACATTTGCGGAGTATGGTAATGTGTCATGGTTGTCCGGATCTTTTCTTAAGCATTACTTTACGATTTTGTCCTGAACTGTTGTGTTTTGTTGAGCCTGTTAAGTTTACATTTTTGTTTTTAACTTCACATTTTCATGTCTAACATCATCACTACTTCATTATCTTCCTTGCTACAATTACCATCAGTTTCCGTTTTGCGGTTTTTTTTCTATAATCACGCACATACTCGCGTGTATTGCGTCTGAAAACCAGTTTCAATATTTTATTTAAAAAAACAATACTTAAAAAGAAACTATCTATGAAAGCAAACTTACTAAACTATACTCAACCTAAAGACCAAAACAAACAAACACAAACCTGAATCAGTACGCTTCCGAAAATCTGAGGAGAAAAACATTCTCCTCACTGCATATACTTCGTCAAATCCATAATAACTCAAACACAACGTTCCTCAACTTCTAATATACCCACCGAACTCAAAAAATCCAGTCAACAAACCAATTAAACCAAACATTCTCTCGAACAACCTTTTAATGTGCGTCCCAGCCTACATCCCATATACAAACTACCTGTTACTACACATCCAAGACTATCAGTGCAAAACATAATAGTTCGCTCCATTAAGCAATCAACTTTCTTAACTACACAAATTACTACTACACAAATTACTACCACCAAAATGACTGGGTAATATCCTTCATACACTCACAAAATTCTTTCCCCTACTATTATTATTCCTTTTATATACACAAATCCGAAATTATTTTAAATCCCAGTATTCCTCTTTCTTATCCCGTACCTGCCGCTACACAATCGAGAGATTGTCCACGCAGAGTATTATTTTACAAAAGAAGAAGGGACCATCGCGTGGCGGAAGCGTGTCCGAGAAAATAGCGGACCGTGTCCGAGAAAATAGCGGAAAGTGCCTGTTGTCCGTAACTCTGGCGTAGTGTACAGCTACAGTGCCGCTTGCGCCAAGTTTTGTAATACAGCGAAGTGACCGTGTGCGCACAGTTTTCCCTTTTCTTTGATTTGCTTTTCCCCTCCCTCTTTTTATTTATTAAAATTTTCCCAATTTATTGTATATATTACGAATTGTATAAAGACTACTGTATAATTTGTACAAGTTGTATAACCATAGCAGGTGAAACGCAAACAGCGATCTCATCATCATAGTTTATAAAAGAAATTGTCTCGCTACTCATAGTTAAAAATGGGTCAACAGAAATTTCTAGTCGTCTGCGAGTGTAGATGGTTTCCGAATCTTTTTCATTGACGGTATCGTACCACTGCAAGCGATCCATCCATCTTAAAAATTCCAGATCATCTCCCTCCAGCGTAATCCCATGATCCTTGGCAAACTGCAGACCGTGTTCGTCAATTGTTGGAGAATTATCTACAACCAATAGTTTTCGAACTGTGTAATACCAAAATACAGTTTTACCGCTTTCAGACTGATACGCCTTGACCCCTTCCAGGCCAGGGTAACTGTGTTCTACCAATCCTTCATCCATTATTTGTTTTAAATGTTTTTATATTCCGATTAATAATAAAACATAAGGCCCTACATGTTCGAGAGGTATTCCAAACTAGCAACGATGTCAGCTTGTCTGTCAATGCTCCGACTAGCTAAGACCGTCACTAATTCGGGGCAACGCCCTCTTTTTTTCTACTTTTTTTTGAATACATTTAAGATACTGCTACACTAAATATATAGAGATAAAATATAACTAATATAAGTCCGATATGGTGCCACACATGGAATGGAAGGCTGCATAATCCATTGGAACTTTCTTGTCGCTGGGGAGGTGGATCCAGACTTTATCCCGTTTAAAACATAAACGAACTGACTTCCGCTCATTATCCTTAATGCGATAGCGCTGCTTTTTGCCGGTATATGCTGACCGTACGAATAGACGTACGGTATCATGATTCTCATGCATACTAACAAGTTTAGCTACTACAGAGTTATCCAGTTCTGCCGCAATTCGACAAACTGCAAAGTTAGACACATTATCGATGACATAACCCAGCAAAACATGGTCATCGACTTTGCGGTATCCCAGACGCATGTCCCCGTCTACCTGAAACCATGATATATGGTCAGATTCACACAGAAACTGCAGTTTCTCAGGAAATTCTGGTAACGGTTCCATTTTTACTGCGCATTACATATTCATTGATACCTATCTACCTTAGTGTAATTAAGCATATATTTCTCGCTTGACTTCTGTCACGACCTTAGTGCTACGTAACATACGGATGACCATAGTCATCTATCATGACCTTTACCTATTAGAAGATGTGCTTGGCAAGCTCGGCACAGATGCTAACGATTTGCTGGTAAGAAAACTCGAGTGACCACGTTTCACCCACAGCTTTGGTGATCCGGAACCAGTTGCTGGTTGGAGTTGCCCTCGTGTGGGATCGGAAATAATATGCATCACGGTTCTTGTCGGTGACAAGCATACGGACTGGGCGTTTCTGCAGTAACGACTGAACAAGAAACCGCACAAACTCTACCTCACTGTCCAACTGAACCAAACGGTTCACAAGGCGAGAGTCTAACTCATTGACACGCACATCGGTTTCTGTGCCATCTGGTTTGGTAGCAAAGCGAACAAAAGTGGCAGACTTATCAGCTTCATGATACCCCATACGACAGGTGTCACGAATGCCGTACCAGTAAACACCATTTTCATGCTTCAGTAAAGGTAAAGGCTGCGCTGCCCCAGGCTGTAATACCATCATAGACATCATTTTCATGCACTGTCATTGATGCCTACAAGTTGTATTAAGCGTGTCATTGGGGATACCTAAGTGTACTTAAGCATACAGTTTCGCGTAGACTTCTGTCACATACCTTTTGCTACATCTGGATT